GAACTGATTCATTATGAACTAATTCATTATAAACAGGTTCATTATGAACTGATTCATTATGAACTAATTCATTATAAACAGGTTCATTATGAACTGATTCATTATGAACTAATTCATTATAAACAGGTTCATTATGAACTGATTTAATATGAATTGATTCAATATGAATTGATTCATTATGAACAGCTTCATTATGAACTGGTTCATTATGAACTGATTTAATATGAATTGATTCATTATGAATTGATTCATTATGAACAGATTCACTATGAACTGGTTCATTATGAACTGATTTAATATGAATTGATTCATTATGAATTGATTCATTATGAACAGATTCATTATGAACTGGTTCATTATGAACTGATTTAATATGAATTGATTCATTATGAATTGATTCATTATGAACAGATTCAATATGAATTGATTCATTATGAACTGGTTCATTATGAACAGATTCATTATGAACTGATTCATTATAAACAGGTTCATTATGAACTGATTCATTATGAACTAATTCATTATGAACAGATTTAATATGAATTGATTCAATATGAATTGATTCATTATGAACAGATTCATTATGAACTGGTTCATTATGAACTGGTTCATGAACAGATTCATTATGAACTGATTTAATATGAATTGATTCATTATGAATTGATTCATTATGAACAGATTCATTATGAACTGTTCATTATTAACTGATTTTATATGAATTGATTCATTATGAACTGATTCATTATGAACAGATTCAGAATGAACTATTTTATCTGCTTCTGACATCTTGGCTGTTGTTCATGTTCAGTTCCTCCTCAGCCTCCAAAGGTGTTTCGAAACAACAAACCTGGCAGAGACTCCAGAACCAACCCGTCCCCCATCAGAGGTAACCTAAGACTAGACTGAATGCTTGTTTGGACTCTGAATTTAAATTGTGACCTTTGTACACAAAATACTTTATTATGAAAGAATCAGCTGGAGGTATGTCTTTATATTTGGCTGTGTCTGTAATAGTGAGGACACAGCATCTGTGTGTTTTTGCTATGTTTAATCATGATACTGCATTTATTTTACAACCTCTGAGGCGACTGATGACTTTAAATGAGTTCAGAACATATGAAGTTCTGAGTTTTTTCTCTTTGTTTTCTGATTGACAGGACCTCCCTCCAGCACACCAGACAGAGTGAGTTTTCACACATTAAATCTGAGTCTGCTGTTATTTCAGATGTTTGTTACATAAATACTCAGAAACATGAACCTGATGTTTGTTTTATGTGAGAAACAAAACAACTAAATTTAATTGGAAAAACAAAAAGGACTAAACATTCAGCCCTGAGGAACTCCAGAGTCTGCCCTGAACAAGAAAAACTCAATTTAAAACATTGCTAACTTTACCTTTTTGTTTCTGCAGACGAGTGCCCAATCCTGGAGGTGTGTTCTCTCTCTCTCTCTCTCTCTCTCTCTCTCTCTCTCTCTCTCTCTCTCTCTCTCTCTCTCT